GGGGGGGGCGCACACGGCACACAGATGGGGTGGGGGCGGGGCCGGACAACTGAACTCAAAACTGAACCGAAGAAAGGGAGGAAAAACAGAAATTAAAAAAAAACAAAACAAAACAAAATCCACAAATGTCATTAGATACCAAAAATCAAAAACAATGTCTGAACTCCTGGGGAACTGACATTTTTCTGTTAACATTTTTTTTCTTTGTTTTCCGACCCTGCAGAGATCTGTGGAGCTGTCAGTAGCACCCGACTGTCTTTCTGTTTCTCTCTTTTCTTTTCCTTTCTTTTTCTTTTTTTTTTCAAGTTCTGATTTTTTAAGTCCCTCTTGGTTAACGTCCACTTACCAATAAAGTGGCACTTCCTCCTTTAGTAGGTAAGATGTGTAAGAGAAGGGAAAAGTGTGGTAGCGTAAGTTCATCATTAGATTCACAAAAATGCAAGAGAGATAGAGAGAGAGAGAGAAAAACGCAACCACCCCATTCTAGGCCAAGAGGAGGCCACGCCGCCTCTGGAGGAAGGATCGGCAGCGCCCGGCTCCTTGGGCCTGTGCCCAGGGTCACCTCTGGAGCGACCGCTGGATAGAGATGTGGAATGTTTCTCCGAAAGTGGACTCAGGACACAAGGATCGGGCTACAGAAAACCAGAAAGGGCACTTGGTACTGTCAGAAGAGCCCTAGCTGGGAACCAGGGCTCTGAGAGCCTGCCACTACCGAACTCACTGAGTGACCCTGGCCAAGTCGCTTGCCCGTAATGGGCCTCAGTTTCCCATCCACAAAATGACAGGGCCAGACTTTGCTTCTGGCTGTCCCTTCCAGAGCAAATGTTCCAGGACTCCCTGACTCCCCTTGCCGTCCCCCTCCCTCCCCAGAACTGGCCCTTCTTCCTGTCCTTGGGCTTCCAGCCAGTAACAGTTGATTGTACTTGTCTGTGAGTCTCTCTGTCCCTCATTCCTCCCCATCACTCAGTCACCAGCACCAGCTTGACTTTGAGCACCTTCAGGGCCAATCTGGTGTAGGAGTCAGCTTTGTAACCTGTTTTTGTTGGTTTTCTTTTGCTGTACCACACTGGAGCAGCATGTGGGATCTTAATTCCGCAACCAAGGATCGAACCCATACCCCCTGCATTGGAAGTGCAGGATCTTAACTACTTAACCAGGGAAGTCCCCTGTAACCTCAGTTTTTATCACAGAACTTGGCATCTAATAGGGCCTCGATACAATTTACTGAGGAAAGAAGACATGTCCTTTCACAGGCCAGGGCCCAACCAGGGAGTCCTGGGAAAGGGGCAGAGTCTGGTCCAAGCTCTTTTGGCAGCCTCTTAGGAGGAGAAAGCAAAACCAGCTGCCATGTCTCAGGGCACCTTGCTGCCAGGGACGGGAAGGAGTGTGGCTTCCTTGGTATGGCCCTGGGTACTTTCGGATGGGGGGTGTGTGGGGGGTTGGGGGTGTCAAGACTTCTCTGTGCAATCATGAACCCAAAGACCAAGAAGTCAGCCCCCCTCGGGGCAGGGCATAGCAAGCTCGTGATTGGTGGCTGCAGCAGTCAGCGAACAGCCATAGCAGGGAGAGCAGCTGTTCAAAGCCCAATGGGCCATGAAGTCCTGGGAGAGCCTCTGTTTAGAGCAGAGGCAGGCATAGGCAGGCAGAGTGGATATCACTGGGGATTGGGGTGCCCCTTGAGCACCCTGACCTTCCTGATCACCAGCTCACCTCTGCTGGGAGAGATGGAGACTGGAGTGTTCAGCCATGGCCCCTCTGAAATGGCAGTCCATTCTCAGTAGACATCACCAGGAGACCCTCGTCTCTTCTAACACAGACCCCCTCCATCCCAGCGCCCAAGCTTCCAGAACTAGGTTCTGATTTCCAGCATCCTTTTCCTTCCAGAGGAGGCAAATGAGAAAGAAGTCTACAGGATCCTAACCACTGAGGTCCAGGCCCCTGAACCAGACCCCAGTGCGGATCTGGATGCCTTCCGCCTAGCATGTCTTGAAGTCCAAGCCCTTCCCCACTTCCCTCTCACCTCCATCAAGGCAAATAGTTGCCAGAGCTCAAGATGATATTAACTGGCATGGTGGAGCACCTTGGGACTAGCTCTGATTTGAGTTCACTACGAAACCTTAAGGAAGTGATCAACTCTGAGAACCTCAGTTTCTCTGTTGGTATGGTGGGGGATAAGTGGATCTCTGCTTGGTAGGCCTGTACAGGAGTTGAGAGGCTCTCTTCAGAGGTCAACTGACTCATGGTCCTTTTACAGATGGATAGGGTCAGAGCAGGTCAGGAAGGCCTGGGGCCCCATGAGGTATCACCCACATGCCCAGATAGAGGAGGACAGGAGGAAGGCTGTGTTGGACAGGGTGGATAGCACCTCCCTGGGTGCTTCTAGAGCCCGTCTCACCTTGATCCACCCATGCCTCCAGAAGCCCAGGAGAAAAAGTCACCCTGATCCTGCCAGAGGGTGAGCCTCATGTCCAGCTGGGCTCTCATTCTTCCCAGGAATCTAGGGACATCCAAGTCCAGACACCATGGAACTTCATAGCTGGACAGGACTGGTGGCCAAGGACCTCCAAAACATCTCCAGAAGCTTGCTCTTAGGGACTCCTGTCCCTTCCTGCCTCTTTCCCCTTCTTTCCCACAGCCTGGCTAATTCCTATCAGTCCTCTACCCGAGCTCAAGGCCACCACCTCCAGGAAGCCTCTCTTGATCCTCACCCTGAGTTGGGTGCTCTCCTCTATGATCCCACAGATCCTTGTTCTTTCCCTTGGTGTGGACTGAGCCAGGCTGTGCCATGGGGTTATCATGACCAGCAGGAACTAGCTCCTCATCCATGGTTCATCTCTCCCCTCCCATCGTTCTGAGTGATCTTTGTTAGTCCTCCGGCCTGGCAGGTGGGGGCTGTGAACCCAGGTCTGCCTGTCTCTCCCTGGCACGGACACCCAGATGGGGCCAGGCATGGAGGAGGGTCAGTCTAGTGTGTGCATGCATGAATGAAGGGCCTCACCTGCCTCTGAGCCTTGCTCTCAGGAGCCTTTCTGCTCCTTGGTACCACTTGCTACCTGGCATCCTTTGCTTATTATGTAAGACATTTTGGGGGGGAAAAACAAGAATAGCAAGGGAGGGGGTGCTCACCTGATCCTGGTATCCTTTAGGACAAGAACAAGTGAGGATCGGGAACCATTACCCCCTTTAACTCAGCATCTGAAAATCCCATTTCAGGAGCCCTGGTCACATCGGATACTCCTTGAAGGTGAGGCCTCCACTCTCCCATGAGGTTGGGACAGAATCTCCTCCAGCAGACCAACAGTGCTTTTTCCCTCCCTGAACAATTTCCTTCTCTGCCCTCCAGAACCACCCAGGAATGAGGGATGCTCTGGTTGGTGACCTCCCCAGGACCTACCTCTGGGGCCAACATGGGGGCGGAAAGGAGAGGATGAACAGGCAGTCTTTCTCCTGTCAAAAGCTCAGGATGGAGCCCCACTGAGGCCTCCCAAGAGCTGTGATATCAAACTTCTGCAGCGGCTCCCAGGTGGGACAGGAAACAGTGTCAAGGGCAGGTATGGGGAGGTGAGGTCCCTGAGGACCGACTCCTGATGTATATCCTTCGTGTGCCTGGATGAGCACTGAGCTGGGAGTCTCAGGTCCCAGGATCGAGGCGTAGTTCTGCCTCAGCATCTTGGGGGGACCCTGGCCCCTGCTGACTGTCCCTTCTGGATCATTTGCACTGGGGCACCACATTTAGCTCAAATTTGGAAGAATGGAAGGATGCTGGGGGATTGAGGGAGCCCCAGTCTGGTTGGGTTATGGTCTAGGCAGCGGGCAGGTGAGCTGAGCGGTCATTCCCTCCATCTCTCAGATTGCCCCACAGAGACTCTGCTGAGCAGGCCACCCTCCTGAGTACTTCTGGTACCTGTTTCTGGCCAGCTCATGTTGCCCCTGCAGTTCAACTACCATTTAACACCCGAAAGATATAGCAGTGAGGCAGTTCAGCCTTGATGCCAGCTGCCACCCCAGAGTCTGTGGCTCCCTACTAAAGCTCCACCTGCCGCCAGGGCAGGACCCAAGGAGTCCAGCAGGCCCTGGAGGGTGGGACAGAGCTGTTTCCTCAGACCTGACCTCAGCCAAAACTTCTTCCAGGATCTGGAGGCCAACAGGCCCAGCACAGACCCCCTCCAACATTGCTTATTGCCCAGGGTGGCTCCGGGGATGGGCCAGGGTGAGGGGTCAGGGGCTTAACAGCTATTCCAGACAACAGAAATCAAACTGGCTCAACCGCAGCATACAATTCAGGAAGGGAACACAAACTCAGAATGCTAAACCACACAGAAATGCATTTGGACAACAAAATGAGAAAGAGAGAGGGCCGTGAGGGAGGGGCTGGGGGCGGGATGGAGAGGAAGAAGAAGGGGAAGGTGGGAAAGGAGGGTAGAATGAACCAGAAAAGCTGTCAGGGGTTGGGAGGTGGGAGGGTGGAAAGTCAAGAAAACTAAATGACAAACCAGGAAACACAGCTTTGCAGCTCATTTGGAGAAAATGCAAGTTACAAATGAGTAGTCACTAAAAGAAAGAAAGAAAATGGGAGGGGGGAGAAAAACCAACCAGAGCGAGATTGAGAGATTGAGAGAGAAAGAAAACCACATTCAAACCAAGCAGAGTGGCGGGGCTTATCTGGAGATGGGAGCGGCGCACAGCGGAGCCGGAATACCTACCTTCTCAGTGGTCAGGGACGGGAATGCAATAATAAAAGAGAAAAGAAGGTCTCCGCATTGGGAATGCAGAATCGGGGAAGACAGTGACGCTAAGCTGTGCTCCCCCTCTGAATCGGCACAGGGCAGCCTTGCGGGCTTTCGGTCTAGTCCCAGGGATGGGAGTGAGATCCTGCCCAGCCATTTCTGTTTGTTTTTTTTTTAAACCCACACGCTCCAAGAGTCAACCTTTCCTTAACTCTTTAAACAACAGAAAACCTCCAGAGGGCATGCAGGAAGCAGCTGATGGGAACAGAACCACAGCACGGGTGAAGGAGGGGCTGGCAGCGTATGGGGAGAGAGGCCCAAGTCAGGGGGGAGAGGTGGTGAGGAAGAGACAGGAAGACACGCACATAGAGACAGACAGACCGAGAGACAGACAGACAGACAGAGAGAGACAGAAACAAAAGCAACACAGACAGAAAGGGGAAGACAGAGGGGAAGGTGGACCCAGACGGAAGAGAAAAGCTGTTTAAACAAGGCCAATCAGAGTGGACTGATGGGGTGAAAGGGATCATGCATTTAAAAGGGAAGGCAACCACCGACTCAATTTGGAGGACTGGCTCAGCCTCAACTCCACTTTACCCCTGGTTTCAGTATCATTTTAGCAAAATTCATCCCTCCTGTCTTCTGGCTTCATCCTGGAAGAAATGCCAAGATGTCCCTTCCTAGCCTGACTGTCCCCCTCCAGTTGTGGTCACTGCTCTTTCCTGGGGTAGGGTGGGAGGGGGAGCTGAGATGAGGCAGATTGGGGAGATCCATGGGCACCTTTTCTTGGGGTCACTCTAGGCCACCCATTAGATGATGAGACTTGAGCCCGAGGCAGAGGCCAGAGAGAGCCTGGGGGCCTTGCTCCTGATGTCCTCTGCCATCCTCACCAAACAGCGAGGCTTCCTTCAACACTTCGGATGCTAGGGGCAGGTGCTGCCAAGGCAGGTGGCCCTACTGCCTAAGGCTGCAAAGCCTGAAGCCTGTGTGTTGGGGAGGGCAGAGCTAGCAGGTATGTTCTTGGGGGGTGGAGGGAGGCGGGTGAGATGAGATGGAAGGACTTGTCCCATGAAGTCATCTTACTCGTCTGTCCCACGTAGCGTGCTTTGAGTCCCTCCCTTCCCTTTCTGAGCCTCACTGTTTATTTCCCCACATGTATGGGAACTGTGGGGGCGTGGGGCTCTGTGGGTCTCTGAGGCAGCAATCGTGTAGAACTGGGCCGTGTAGTGTTGGGCTCACCCATAGCCTGGTCTTGGTGTGGGCAGGCTCCCGTGCTGGGGAGCTGAGAGAGCTGGGAGCCAGCCTTGACGCCTGGTGGGATCCCCAGGGAGGGAAGCAGGAGCTGAGACACCCAGCAGCCACCTCCCACATCCTCCTCCTCTTGCTCAAGGCTCCTGGAGTGGGTTTTCTATTGACAGCCCTCCCACATCTTGGCTGTGCCTGGGAGTCTTGAGGTTAGAAGGCTGCGGCCTCCTCTTGGATGAACCTCTAAAAAGCGGTGTGACCTTGAGTTGGTCACTTGACCTCTCTGAGTTGCAGAGTGGGGCTCAGCTCTGCCCTGGGATGGGACAACTAAGATGTGTCGGGAGCTAGCACTCAGTCTAGCCCAGGATGGACTTCTCTTTTGCCTGAGAGTATCTGACTTTGCAACCCTCACCTGAATTAAACTCTATCATGTGTCTTCAGCTCCCTGCTCCAGGGCCTCCTAAGGATCTGAGACCTGGAAGGAAGTTCCATCTTATCCAAGATGGAACTGAGAAAGTTCAGGGCCCTGGGAAGCAATGGATAACCTCTTGCCTTCCCTGTGTCTCTCAGCTTCTCTCCAAGGTTCCTCATAGACTGAGATATGGACACACCATCTTTTGTTAATTTAAAAACTGAAGCAGTCCCAGCTTATGCCCTGAGGTGGAGGGGAGGGCTGGCTGGTGCCCAAGATTTGGCAGGAGTTGTTGGTACAGGAGTCTTTTTTTTTAAAGAGTTATCTTCCCTTTTAAATCCTGATTACAAAGGAAAAAAATATAGATATGTATATGACTAATGTTCACTTGAGATTCAAAAACCATCTCTGCTTTAGAAGGAGCAATCCCCACAGTAACACACACAAAAGCAAAATTCTAGAACAACATAGAAGATAGAGGAAAAAAAAACCCCGAGAGATGTTTTGCATTTCTGTACGTTACAAAACGAAAAAAAGAAGGGAAATACAAAGAAAAACAAAATAACAGGAAAAATTACATAAACTTCCCCACCCTCTTCCCTTGCCAGCTAAACAAGAAATGGAATCACAGTATTACCACGTTTCAAATGGGAGGCTAAAAAAAAAACAAAAAAAAACATAGACGGGGTTAAAAAACGGTGAGCTTTTTCTTTTCCCATTCGTTTCTCTCTCTTTCTTTTTTCTTCTTTAAAGGTAGCATCCAAGAATACCACCCCACCCTCTGGTAATTTTTCCCAAAGACATTTTTGGTTACTGGCCAAAGTCTGTGACCCCAGAGCCCACCTCACCTCCCTGGAATGAGAACTCATGTCATTTCACTCCTCCGAAAGGATGTGCAGGCAAGAAGGGATGAGGTTCAGGTGAGAGACCTGGGATGTTCCGAAGTCCCAGACCTCCTAGGGCGCAAGGGGTAGAGAGGATCTGGGGGGCATGCTTGGCGGGAAGAGTAACAAAGTGCTGTCATCTAGAAAACTCCCAGGGCAGTGCCAACTCCCATGTTTGGTAGGGAGACAGGACTGGGGTGCTGCAGAGGCTTCCTCCCTGCGAGGCGGCCTTCCGATTGCCCTCTCCTGGGGTTTTACCTAGCTGGCCATTTTGTCTGCACAGGCCCTGGGCCCTTGCAGGGTGTTGTTCCGGCCTCCAGGGCAGGGGGCAGGGGTAGGGGGAAACTCCCATGTTTGGTAGGGAGACAGGACTGGGGTGCTGCAGAGGCTTCCTCCCTGCGAGGCGGCCTTCCGATTGCCCTCTCCCGGGGTTTTACCTAGTTGGCCATTTTGTCTGCACAGACCCTGGGCCCTTGCAGGGTGTTGTTCCGGCCTCCAGGGCAGGGGGTAGGGGTAGCGGGGTGGGGGAGGCGCAAGGCCCTGATGGAGAGAACCTGCACTTCTGTGCCTGTCAGAAGATACGAAGTTTCCAGGAGAAGGTGTCTGGGGCGCTGTGCTATTCCAGCTCTGTGCCCATGGGGTCGGGGATGGGGAGACGCTATGGGTTTTGCCCAAGTTGGACGTCTCCTCCGTGGCCTGCAGCACCAGTCCCTGTCCTGGCCGCCCTCAGCTACCTCTGTGAGCCCTCTCCCACCCCCAGTCAGACCCACGGACGCGGGAGTGATCCTCCCCACGTAGCCCAACGAGGCGCCTCGGAGCCCAGGAGCCTGGCACCCTGTCCAGGTGGGGCGGTTTCAAGACAGGGGATGTCCTTAAATAAAAATGATCTTGAGACTCAGAGCCTTTTGTCAGCTGCCCTTGGCTTTCCTCGCTGAGGCCATAGGAGTAAGGGTGTTTGAGAAAAGAAAAGGAGTGAAAGGAAACAGCCAAAAATCAAAATGAAACTGACCAACACGTACATGTTTGCTGCTGAGACCTGAGGTCTGGGGAGGGACAGCACCCCCTCCCCTACTTCCCCACTGAGGCTCCTAGGGGTAGCCTGCAGGTCTGGGAGGGGGAACCTGCCGGCCAACCCACCCTAAGCCCCCTGTGCCCATCCAGGGCCCCTGCCAGCACTGCGGTCCCCCTCTCCCTGTGGGGGGCTCCACCCCGGACTCTAAGATGGACACACAAAAGGGGATGTGACCTGGGAGAGCCTCCCGCCCTGGCCCAGCCCATCCTCCCAGGAAAGGCTCCCTCATCAGTCACCAGACCGCCCGTGGCCCTCCTAGAAGTTGGGTGGGGACAGCACCTCTGCAGGGAGGTGCCTTAGGAAGGATGGGCCAAGGGAAGTGAAGCCGCAGGTTTGAGACCCCTGTCTAAGCAATGCCCCCGAAAGGACAGGTTTGCCCTGGAGCAGGGACTGCAGAAATGCAAGGGGACAGACGGGGAAGGGATCTGAGAGAGGCAGAGGGGCTGTGAGGGGGCTGAGGAAGGACGGGCTCTCCAGAGGGGTTAAGGACTCGGTGGGAGAGGAAGGCTCCGGGCGCCAGTGACGCCCGAGGGGGCGGTCCTGACTCTTGAACCTCGTTCCCAACTGCGAGCCCTCCCACAGTCCACGCCCCCTCCCACCCCGTACATCTGCGGGCAGCGGCCGAAGGCCTGGGTTCCTTCTCAGCTCTTTACCCAACTGGCTGATGCCCCGGGGGCCACCCTGCTCTGGCCCTCAGTGTGCCGAGGTCAGGGGCGCAGACCCCCTCACCCCGACACTAAGGCCAGCGGGGCGAAACCACCCGGCCCTCCTGGCCGCTCCGGTGCGGGGCAGGGCCCCGGGGAGCGGGGAGCGGCCGGCCCCCTCGCACTCACTGGCCCCTACCCCGCGGCGACCCGGCGCGACCCCGCCCCGCCCCCGACCCCGCTCGGCGCGGGAACCCTCCGCAAAGCCAAGCGTACGTACATCGAGCAGGCTCTGCGCCGAGCCCGGGCGGCCCCCGTGCGCTCCGCTCCGCTGCCTGCTGCCACCGTTCTGCTGGGGCGACCCCCACCCGCTGCCGCCGGATGGGGACGGCGACCGGCTCCCGCTGGACCGCCGGCTACCCGTCTTCCGCCCGTCGTCTCGGTGCTTGGGGCTTAGCCTGCATAGGGGGAGCCAGCGTGGGATGCCGGGCCTGCAAGCTCCCGCCCCTCCCTCCTTCCTCCCCAACCCCTTCCCATGCGCCCTCCCATCGCCAGGAAACCCTTCCTGGGAGACAGCAAGTTCCCAGCCCCCACATTGCCTCGGTCCCCAATCACAGTCGGGGGCGCCTTTGGGCAAGGGCAGCACCACGGTCCCAGGTGGCGCTGGGGGTAAAGAAGCCGCCCGCCGAAGCTGCAGATGTAAAAGGTGCGGGTTCGATCCCTGGGTGGGGAAGATCCCCTGGAGGAGGCCATGGCAACCCACTCCAGTCTCCTTGCCTGGAGAATCCCATGGATAGAGAAGCCAGCCTGGCGGGGCTATAGTCCATGCGGTCACAAAGAGCGGGGCACACGACCGAAGCGACCTAGCAGGCGCCCAGCGCAGCCGTCCTAGTAAATTTCTACCCACGGATGCTGTTCCTGTCTGGCCATCAGCGCCACTACCCGGCCTTGGGGACTGCAGGTGCCCTCCCAGAAAGGGAGCTCAGCCACTCCTGAGAGCCCCCCCGGTCACCCACGAGAGCCCCCCGGTCACCCCTGAGAGCCCCCCGGCCACCCCTGAGAGCCCCCCGGTAGCCTGGCACCTACCTGCTGGGTGATCTGGAATTACTGTAATGGGAGGACAGGGAGGGGCTGTGGGAGCTGCCGCTGCTGTGACGATGGGACCTGCGGCCTGGAGACTCTGCGTGTGGCCTGGGAGAGAAAACGACTGCCCTCACGTTCTGCCCCATCTCCCGGGGTGATACCTGTGAAGGCCTGGTGGAAGCCTCCGCTTCCATCCCTGCCCCTGGCCATGTAGTCTCCCCCCTGCCCCCATAGCTCAGGGGGGAGGTGCCCCCATACTCTTCCTCCCATAACCCCCACCCCCAAAATCTCCCTCTCCTCCCGTGGCCCCCATACCTCCCCCACATAGTCTCCTACAAAAATAACACAAGCCGTGCCCATCCTGGGTACAGAGCTAGTCCATGTGGGTCATTTGTCATTATTAGGAAAAAGGCGTCCTTCTCTCTAGGCAATCCCAGCCTCCCAGGATCTCACTTGGCCCTCAGCTGGTGTTCTTATGACTGTGATGGAGGGGGGTGGGGAGCGGGGCAGGGGAGGGCACTCTTGGCTTCCTCTCTGGGTCTGAATTTTTCCATCTGGGCAGCAGGGACAAACATGAGCTATCGAAGGCCAGGGGTTTTTTGAAGGGGATGGGGGGGTGGTGGGCTGAGGGGCTGGAGAGTGGGAGAGGGTACTCACCTTTTCCTTTCTTTGTTCTTTTCTTTTCTTTTGCTCTTGGGGCTTCGAGATCTACAGAAAGCAGAGACTACCCTGACAGCACAGCCTGAGCCCCGAGCTGGCCCGGGGAGGGCGGGGCCTGGGAGCCCTGCAGCTGGGCTGTGTCCAGGTGTGGTCCTGAGGTGTGCTCCTCTCTTGGGTGGGTTTGGACCCGCCCACCCCACCCTACCCCACTGCTTTGGTCCCTGCTACTCTGCCAGGCCTTCTTCCCTCCTCCTATAAGTCCTGGCCTGGATCGCCTTGCATCTGGGCCCTACTTCTGTTCCCCCCAGGAGTGCCATAGGAGATGTGACCACGGCCCCAGAAGGAGTAACCTGCACTTTCCTTCTGGCATTGGTCTTGGAAGAAGCCCCTCTGATGAGTCACCACAGTGGGGGTGGCCCCTCCACACCTCAGCTGTGTTCCCTGGGCCCCAGGTTCCCTCAGACGGGGCTCTCTAGGGCGGAGTCCAGACCTCCCACCCCTTTGTCTTATGTGGTCCAAGCCTGGTGTTTAGGAAAGAAATGCTTTCCCCTGGGCTTCATGATCTTCCTGCTTTGGGGTTACTCTTCTGGATCCCTCCCATCCTATCCTGCTTTCTGAGGCGAGCCCCGCAGCCCAGCTCCTTCTGTCTTTGACCAAGATGGACAGAAAAGCTCCTGGTCAGGCTTCTAAGGTCTCACCCCTGTGGGTCTCTCAGCCCCACTCTCCCTGATGCCACCAGACTCCTGCTCAATCCCTCTAGTCCTGAACAGATGCCTCCTTCCGACCAGAAACAAGGTGATGCTAAGAAATGCCAGAATGTGTTTCACCTGAGAGCAGAGTGGGTCAGGGGCAGGCCCAGGAGTCCAGAGGTTTGGCTTCTAGAACCCGTGCTGCCTGCTTTGGGCCTCAGGCTCCCCATGGGGAGTGGGTCTGGCCCTAGCTCACCTCGCGGTCCTCCCTGGGACTGACAGGAATGGGACAGAGATAAGGCAGGAGGGGCCCCCACTGGCCCAGAAGGACTGGAGGGGGTGGCAGGGGAGGGCGCAGATGGGAAACCGGGGGATTGGGAGGGCCAGGACTAGGTGGTGGTGGTGTTTAGTCGCTCAGTCATGTCCTACTATTTTGTGACCCCATGGACTGTAGCCCGCCAGCTCCTCTGTCCATGGGATGTTCTGGGCAGGAAGACTGGAGTGGGTTGCCATTTCCTTCTCCAGGGGATCTTCTAAACCCAGGGATCAAACCCACATCTCGGCATCTCCTGCAGTGCAGGCAGATTCCTTTACCGATGAGCCACCAGGGGAGCTCTGGGATTAAGGTGTGGCCGTGGGCAAATGCTCCCTGCCGGCAGTGGAACTGAGAACTCTGCCCCTCTTCAGGGGTGCTGGGGGGGCGGTGTCTGGCTTCAGTGCCAACAGTGGGGATGTGATTGCCCCACAGCTTCCTGTCCTCCATGCTGAGTTTTCTTCCACTTTCCACCCGCCTGCCTCTACCTGGGTTCTGGCCTTACACCTCCTTCTCTACAGTCTATCCTGAAAAAGTCACGGTCCTGCTGTCCTGCTCAGAGCTCCTTGCTGGCTCCCAGCCCCACAGAGTGGAGGTTTCATAGTCTGGCAGTTAGGCCTCTTGGGGGGCTGGCACCGGCCCCGCAGAAACTCCACATGTAGGCACAGCCCACTCGCCCTGTCTCCTACTCACTGAGCCTTTCTACCTCAGGGAGGTCCTTTTGCCTGCAGGCCCTTTCTCTGTGAATTTGGGGTCCTGATGTTTCTGCTTTCCCAACTGGCACCTCCAAAGATATATCCCTTGGACACTGGACCACTGTGTTGTCTGGACATCCTTGGGGCTCCCAAGGCAAGGCTGACTCTGGGGCAAACAAGCATTGCAAATGGCTTTCCTCCTCCCCCACCCTCCAGCTCTCTGTCTGGCTCTTGGGAAGAGTCCCTGGTGTGGGAAGAGGGAGCCGGACAGGACCCTGGCAGCCCTCCTCCCATCGTGGCTTCCTCGGGCCCTGCAGGGGGGCCACTGGCCTCTGTCCATGTCCTCCTGTCCCGCCTCCACGGGGCGCCACTCACCTGTGCCGCCTCTTCCTCCGGGACCCAGATTCAGACCTGTAGGACCACAGAAAGGTCCTCTTGAGCCCACGCACAGCCTTGGTCATGGGGGAGGGGGTCCCACGGAAGTGAGCGGAGGCCCCCGGGGACAGAGGGTACCTGTCTCGGCGGTGTTTCTTCACACTCTTCTTCTTCTTGCGAAGGGGTGAGGAGCTCCCACAGCTGTGGACACAGTGCCGGGGGTGGAGGGGGGAGGTCTAGTGAACTGGGGCCCCGGGATGGGTGGGGGTGGCATGGTGGTGGAGATGGCTGGGGAAGCCTAGGCGCCTGTGGCCTTGAAGTTGGAAAGGGGACTCCAGGGCTTCAGGCCAGCTGTCATCCTACAGCGAATCAAGGCCCCGAGGGTCCACTCGGTTCCTGAGAGAAGCTGGTGGAGCAGCCTGTGCTGTCCCCTCATCACCTTTCCAGCCCCCCTGGGCACTGTGAGCCAGGACTGTTTCAAAATCAAAGGTTAGAGGTGCCAGTGATGGGATTTCTGGCCTCCGCGGAGAAGCGCCGGCATGTTGGCTGGTGCCCAGGCCCTGAGGTGCAGGCCTCCAGCCTCCGGGGGGTGGCCTTGGACCCTCTTCCACCCACAGACATCCTCTCCGGGCCCAGCCGGTCCCTCCCTGCCCCACCCTCATCACTGACCTGCACTCAGAGTCTAGTCTCCTTTTTTTGCTGAGGGCGGGGCAGAAAGAAGGGGAGACAGACAATTGGATGGGATTAGTGGGGGTCCCAGACATTTGCCGGGGGCCTCACTTATGACAGGGGAGAAGGGGCGTGTAGAGATGGGGAGCCATAGGTGACCCCAGCCAAGCCTCTCTTCCCTGGCCCCTGGGGTGCAGGACCCCTGGGGGAGGGTGCTGGGGACCAAGAGCAGGTGGTCAGAGGTGAGAGGCTGGGTCATGGGCGTGTGCAATTCGGGGGGGACAGTGGGGGAAAGGGCCTGGAGAAGGGGAGGGGCTCAGTGAGGGGGGCCCAGAGTGCGGGGTGTCAGAGCCCTGCCCGCCCAGGGATGGGCAGCTGGGGGCCCCACCGCACCCCTCCCGCCCCCTCCAGCCCGGGGGCGGCTCTCACCGGCTTCTCCGGTGGCCGCCTTTCTTTTTCTTCTTCTTCTTGGGAGGGGGAGACGCAGAGCTGCTAGACCAGTGCTTGGTCCTGGGTGAGAAGGGGGCGGGGTGGGCGGGGGGAGGGGAGGGCAGAGGTGAGGGGGGAGGGGCGGCCTCCACCCCCACCCCTCATCCCCCGCCGCGGCAGGTGCTGACCTGTCCCCCCGGTGCCCGCGGTAGCAGGAGGCGGGGCAGTCGCAGTCCACCGGGCCGTCGTCCTCGTCGAAGGGCGCGTACTCCAGGCCCAGCTCGGCGCCCTCGATCAGCCGCGGGGTCTCCGCCACGCTGCCGGCAACAGGGACGCTCAGCACCTGCCGCGGCGGCGGCCGTGCCTTCCCGCTGACCCATTCCCGGCCGGGCGGTGAGGTGGGGATGGCCCCGACCCCTCGAAGGTCATCGGGGGTGGGGGGGGCGGATCTGGGGAACCACACCGGGAGCCTCCCTCACAGGGCGCCAGTCTCAGCGATGCTCTATTTTGTCCCCATCCTCAACAAACCAACCGTGCCCTATTTTGCAAAAAAAAAAAAAGAGGACCACGGAGCCCTCCCCCCTCACTTAGCCCCCGCTTCTAGGTTCTCACCCTCCAGGCGCCCCCTCCTCCTCAGTGAGGCCCCTCCCCTCGCTGAGGCCCCTCCCGACACGGATTCTTTGCCCCTCGGTTCCCTTCATTGCGCCTCAGTCCCCCTCATTGAGCCCCCCTGCACCCTTAACCCCAGAGGCCTCGTCCCAAGCCCCTTTCGCCTCCCCAGCCCCCCTTCTCCGTCGCCGAGCCCCGCTCTCTCACTGAGACCCTTCCCGTTCTCTGAGCTCCCCCTCTCTGATATCTGTCCTTCCTTAATCCTGCCGTCCCCTCGCCCCCCCCCCGCCCCCCGCCTGGTCCCCCCTCCCGCCCCACTGCCTCTCTGAAATATTCATGGCCTCTCCTCCTCCTCTCGGCCGCCTCCGGAGGCCTGGCGGCTCTTCTCCGGCTGCCGGGCTGTCATCAATCACTGCCCAGTGGCAGCGGGCGCCGGCCTCGGCACCCTGCCCGCCTCCCGGGCTCCTCATCCATCTTGCCGCGTTCTCCCCTTCACTCCGCAGGGACCGCGGCATCTGGTCCCCGCTCCCGGGCTCAGGAGCCCCCAGCCATCTTCTGCCACCGACGTCTGTTCCCGGAGGGCACTTGGAGGAGCGGCTGCTTTGTCCATAAAGGCTGCTGGGCTTAAGGCAAGGCTGGGAGCTTTGAAGCTGCACATGTGCCCTAATTATGCGCTGTTCCTGAGTCGCTGCGTGACCCTCTCTGAGCCTCTTTTTTCAACAGGGGAATGAATCCTAATTACCTTAAGGATAGTTATGACAATTCCCTGAAGTCCCGATGTTGTGCAAATTTGTTTTTTTACTGGACACGCCCAGAAACGGACCCTCCAAAGGCCCAGGTCCAGGATGATGGTCCCTCATCTTCCATTTTTCATTCCTGCTCCAGCTCAGATAGCACCCCTCCCAGATGGAGGCTCAGCCCTGGTTTTGCCCGGCTCATCCTTTTCCTGCCCAGAGCGAGGGAGGCCACGGCTGGGATGGCAGAGCATTAAAGACGTGACATGAGCTTTGGATTCACACAGACAGGTCTGAATCCAGGCATGACCACGCTCACTGAGCCTCCGGGGCCTTATCTATACAACGGGGAAAAGAATAGCTCAGCTTTGAGAAGAGGATTAAGTGCGAGTCTGGCTATGAAGCTCCCGACAGGAGGCCTGGCCTGCAGCTACGGTCCTCCACACACGGTCACCATTGCTAGACAGAGGGACCTCGGTCGGACACTCACACCAACACCTCCTCTTCCAGGGAGAAAAGTGGTTTTGACACATGAAAGAGACTGGGCAAGATCGCAGCTACAAGGTGAGATTTTCAGGCACAAACTCCAGCAGAGCACCCACTAAGCAGCTCTTTGAAGACTGATTTTTGTATTTAAAAAAAAAAAGAAAGAAGAATGTAACCCAAATTGGACAGGGTTAGCTAGCCTTGACGCTTGTGTCAAGAATGTCATTTGGTGGACTTCCCTGGTGGTCCAGTCTCCCTGCTCCCACTGCAGGGGGCATAGGTTTGATCCCAGGTCAGGGAACCAAGATCCCACATTCCTCACGGTGCACCCACATGCCTCACGGTGCAGCCAAAAAAAATGTCATTTGGATCCCAAACACCATCCTGGCCTTGGCAGCCTAGAAGTCACACAGGTGTTATGAGAGGTTTTTCTGGGGGGGATGGACAGTCATGTCATTGCTCTGCCCCCGCAGAGCCAAACACCCCCACATCCCTTCATTCAAACCTCTCCTCTCTTCCCCACGCTCTTCTTCCTGAAGCCAGGGGCCTCCTACTTCCTGTCCCTGAAATCTCCAACTCCACAGCCTGTCCCGGGGCCCATCACCCCCACACAGCCCTCAGCCACACAAATGCCTGACACATAAACCCTAGACTTTGGCAAAACTTAAGGGCACCACAAACATTGTGTGGGTGAGCTGGTGGGAGGAGGGAACTTTCCTTGATCCCGACAGAAGGCAGGGAATCCTTTCTTGCCTTCTGACATCAAGCTGGGTTAGCCACTGAGTCCAGGCCCTCCCTGGGCCCTCCTTATTGTGCTGGCTGCACCCCTAGACACATCTTTCCTTTCTACCCTGTGCTGGGGACAGGGCTCCCCACCCCCTCCCAGCCCCATCTCCCTCCCTGGGACCTTATCGTTTGACCTCTTTTACTTTCCAGTCCTTTCTAGGGATCTTTTATCGCTGGAAGCATTGAAAGACAGGCATGGGGACTTCCCTGGTGGTCTGGTGACTAAGACTCTGTGCTCCTAATGCAGGGGGCCCAGGTTCAACCCTTGGTCACAGAATTAGATTCCACATGCTACAGCTAAGAATTCGCATGCTGCAGCTAAAGAAAAAAAAAAAAAAGGTCCTGCATGCTGCAATGAAGATCCCATGTGCCAGAACTAAGACCTGATGTAGCCAAATAAATAAAGCAAAATTTAAAGAAGCAGACAGGCATAGAGGAGATGCATGTTTGAAGAGACATACAAGGTCTCAGAACCTTCTGGTAAGACTCGTCCTGGCAGTTCCAGGGATGTAAATAGACTTAGGTTGAGGCCTCTTTTGCTGGTTTTGTGCAGCTGGTATCACCACATTCACTTTGCAGGCCCTCTCAGGGCTAGAACACTGGGTTCTCCTGTTCTGACCTTCCTGGCTCACAGTATAATATATATCACAAATAATACCACTCATGAGAATGTTCTCTAATGTTTAAATGGTTCTCCATGGTACACATTCCACTCAAAACCAATTCCTGATTTAGAGAAATTGCATGCTCCCATTTCACAGATGAGAAAACTGAGGCCCAGAGAGGGAAAGAAATACCTATGGTTTGGGGACCTTTGATTAAGAATGCAAGTTCACCTAAGCAATTGACTTTGAGAATTCATGTGCACACAGGCCGACCCTGGACTCTACTGGCTGGGCTTCCTCACTGTGGACGTTAGCTCAGCCGTCCCCTCCCTGCTCTGCAGACACAGTTGTGAGTGTCTGCACTGAATTCTAGGTTTGTTTAGTGTTTTCTGCTCTTAAGTTCACATTTGTTGGCAAGTTTACTCCTCACCATGCCTGTGGAATAGGCAGGGGAGGTGTTCTTCCCTGGTGACGGAACACATGGAGCCCCACAGAGCTGACCAAAGCAGGTCCAGCCAGAGTCCACTGCAGAGGGACCGGGGTGAATCGGGGCTGAACCCAGCACCACCCAGGACACCTGTTGGACCGGCTGCCCCCGGGAAGGGCTCCGACCTGGGAAGAGATGCCTGTCACATGCTCTTCCTCCAGACAGCAGTTTCACTAATTAACTAGTTATGTTTCCCTTTTGCCAGGAGCCTAATGGCCAATTGACAGATGACTGAGTTCACACAGAAGAGAAGGAGGCTTCCAGGCAAAGGCGCTGCCCTTTCTGCTCACTCAGCCTGCGTGCCAGGCCTGCTGGGGCTGGGGGGAGGGGGCAAGGGTGGCAGGAACAGACATAAATCAGGCCTGGGGCCTCTCCTATAGCGCCTCATAGCAAATATATGAGACTCTTTGCACCGCCATGGACTATAGCCCACCAGGATCCTCTGTCCGTGGGATTCTCCAGGCAAGAATACTGGAATGGGTTGCCATTCCCTTCTCCAGGGGATCTTACCGACCCAGGGATCAAACCCAGGTTTCATCCTTTGCAGGTGGATTCTTTATTGTCCGAGCCACCAACCAAACTGATAACAAACTTGTCTTCAATGTCTTTAACATTCTAGTAGGATCCCAGGACCCTGTGAACTCTATATTCTCCCCTGCTTCCAGAGCAGGAGTCCTCCTTGGAGGTTGTGTTTCTACCCAGAGAGCAGGGGGCATGTCTATTTCTTTTTCCCTCCCCCATCATAGCACCAGCATAGGGTTGGGTGTACAGTACAGACCCTTAAGGGCATTTCTTCTGATGATGGACATTGCGACCTTTCCGTGACATCCTTCCCAACATGTCCTGGTTCTTATATGCATTGTTCATTCATTCAAGGAAAGAGAAGATCAGGACTCCTGGAAACGACTTGGAAGTCATCCACTAACAGGAGAGCATTCCAGCTGGGGATGGATGGGATCCCCAGGAAGAAAAGAGAAGGCAGACCTGGGGAAGAGACCTGAGGACCTAGCAGATCCTTGTGAGGAGCCAAGACCTAAGAAGTGGGCAGGAGGAAGGGAGGAACAGAAAGCCATCAGAGGGGCAGGAAGACAATCACAAAGAGCTGACTCTTGGAAGCCAGGGAGAGGGAAAGCAGGTTTCCAGAGGGGAAATGGGGTGGTGGCACGTGCGAGGAGAGGCCAGGCCTGCAGAGGTGCCTGGGCCAGGCCAAGCAAGACTCAGACCGCTGCAGCAGGTCATGGGAGTCATGGGGGCAGAAGCCAGATCTCTGGCTTAAGGAAGTGGAGACAATGTGTACCACACGCTCTATAGAAATCTGATGCAGAAAAGGGAGAAACGTGTGGGCTGGTAGCTGGAAGAGAAAGCAGGGCTGGGGAAGGACCGGAAGCCAACTAAGAGGAAGGAGCCCAGGGGAGGGGAGAGCGGCAGGTGTGGGCTGGAGGGGCGGTTATCGCTGGAAGGGCCCTGAGAAGGTGGCAAAGGCAGGCTCTGGAAGAGGCCTCCTCCCCTCACACTGGATGGAAGGGGAGAGGGTGGCTGCTTTTCCAGAGGAGCCCTGGGGGCATTTGAGGGGGCACGGGTCAGACAGGAAGAACCTGATGGTTTTGGAGGTAGTACGGGTAGCAGCAGAAAGATCTGGCTGTCTGGAGGTTTGAGAAGGGAAGGGAGGAAGGAGCTCACCCTGGTCTGGGGGCGGGGATGAATCTGCGGGGTGTTACTGTGGCAGCCACTACCGAGGGGGTGCTGTGGGCTCTGGGAGGCTGGGGAGAAGAAGGTAGTAGTGGTGTGACCTCTTCCCACCCCGAGGGTAGGAGAGAGCAGGCCAGCTGAGCCTGGCTTCCCTAGATCACCCACAAACCCCCCACAAGCCTGAGGCTGGCCTGACTCTGGTTTTTGTTTTTTTCCGCCCTTTTTGGCCATGCCATGTGGAATCTTAGATCTTAGTTCCCTGACCAGGGATTGAACCCGTGCCCCCTGCAGCGGATGCGTGGAGTCCTAACCACTGGACCATCAGGGAAAATCACCATTACTGACTCTGCTTCGGGCTCTTGCTCAAGCCAGAGAAGTGAGGTTAAGTGGGGCTAGGAGGGGACCCCCCCCCACCTGAAATAGTCTACAATTTCTATAGACTGGGCTTCCCTGTCTTCGAGATCCATCTGCTCCTGCAATGCTGTTTGCCCTCAAGACAACAGCAGGGAAAAGCATTCAGAAGGCGCTGCTGCTGTTTTACTTTCCTGCCAACAAAGGTGCCCAGGGACTTAGGGCCTCAGCAAGATGCCCACCCTGCCGTCATGTCTGGAAACTTGCAGTGACAGGCCGGCCCCACTCTCCTACAGCAGCTGCTCCACTTTATATGGTTTCGAGTGGGTGATGGTTCTCCGAGACAAAGTCTGCCTCCCCATAACCTCCTTGTCTTATCCGAAGCCCACAGCACCCGGTGCCCCTCCTCTCCTGTGACACCTGCAGAGATGTCACCGTACAGAGCCTGTGCTCTCTTTACCGGGTGGGCCTTGGCCAAGCCAGCGATGGCTTTTCATGCACTGGTTGTGTTTACTCTGGAGGCCACTATCTAGGTGATAATAGTTGGGGCGGGGGGACTAGTTTATCAGCCAATGACAACACTGAGGAAAGAACACTTCTCTGTCTCCTGGTCTGCAGCCCAAGATTCCCGGAGATGAGATGTGGGCTCTTTCTCCCACCGCTGGGCCAGAGATAGAACCCAGGGTGGCAGGGAGAGGACTTCAGTGATGCCCAGGTAGGTGCCCAGCGACTCTTGCCTAGTGCCCTGGGTCAGGCCAGAGCTTCCGGTGGACAAGACCCACGCCCTCTCCTCCTCCTCTTCTTTCTTCCCACCTCCAGCCCCGACCACCTGAGTGAGCCCTGGGAAAGGCTGCCCAGGGCTGGCCTGAGGCTGCACCCTTCCCCTGTCCTGGGCCNCCCTCTCCTCCTCCTCTTCTTTCTTCCCACCTCCAGCCCCGACCACCTGAGTGAGCCCTGGGAAAGGCTGCCCAGGGCTGGCCTGAGGCTGCACCCTTCCCCTGTCCTGGGCCTCCCCACCCTGGCAGCACTCACATGTGGCCCCCAGGCCGGTCCTCCCTGGTGAGCATTCCCTCCTTCTCCATCAGCATCTGCCGGAAAGTCCTGACCTTCTGCCGGGTCTCCTCCTCTGAGTACCTGTGGGGCATAGGGAAGGTGAGAGCTGCAGTCTGGGCTCTGGTTTCCTCCCCACCTGCCCCCCCAGCCCCTCCTCCCAGCCCTCAGTCACGTGGGCACTCTCCAGCTTGATATGACCTGTCCAAGGTCACACCACCAACAAGGTTCTCAGTGCTGGGGAAGCTCAAAGCCAACCCATTCTGCACCAGATCAGTCAACCAACCAACTAAACCAACAACCAGGCAAACCAACACATAAACTAAAGTGAGTGTTCCCAGAGGTGAGGAGACCTCCCGGGGAGACCCGGCTCTTCCTCCTGGCCCTGTCCCACCCTGGGACAGGCCTCCCTTCCACATCCAGGCTGCAGTCCCTCTCCGGAGACATTTTAGGGGAGAAGGGAGACCCCTGACCTCGACACATATGTGGCCTTTTCTGCTTTCCTCACCATAGCCTGGGGAAGTCCTCAGCGCATCCCCGCCTCTACAAGGTCAAGGCTGCCAAATGGCCAGTCCAGGGCCCCAGGGGTAGATCCACGGCTTCCCAGCTTGGGATGGGGGTGGGGATGGAGGTAGTCTGGGCCTTGGATGGAGGCTCCTGACTTCTCTCCTCTGCTCTCCCTCCCTCCCTGAGCCCAGTCTCAGGCTGGGGACCAAAGCCCAGAATTATCTACTCCTCATCTTTGTTCCTGCATCCTGGGATCGCTGTCACCTCTCTCACACCACCAATGTGACAGCTGTCCAGGCCTCCCAGCCCATGTCCATGCTGACCCCTGGGGCATCTGTGCTCACCCAGCCCCTGGCCCTCTGCCCAGCACACATCAGCTGTCCAGTGGCTGTTGCTAACTGAGTCCTGTCTCCTAAGCTCCCACCCTCTCCTCCTTCTGGGCTGCCCTGGACAGAAAGCATGGTGGCCAAATAGGAACTGGAGTCCCACCTTCTCTATCATGTGACCATGAGCTGTCTGTGCACACAGCAAGCCCAACTCACCCCCCACCCCACCCTATCCATGAAAATGGTGCATCCTTCCCTGTCAGGGACCCCATCTCTTTTCTCCCTTCTTCCCTCCTCTCCTTCAACAAGCATTTGGGATTGACTCAGTCTTTTTGGAGAGCAATTTGGCAATTCTTTTCAAAAACCTTAAAAAATAAAAAAGAATACAACTTTTGATTCATAAATTAACTTCCAGGTTTACTCTGTGGAAATAACCATGGCTGAACACAAAGATGTGACTCATGGGAAGTTTATAGCAGGACGAATCCTCCTGCCTCCCCAACCAGGTTAGGTGCTAGCATTTGTGTTTCCATAGCAACCTCAGCCTCCTGGTTCCTCCTGGAGGGTTGGTTTCTGTCTTCATCTGTTGACTTTTCTGCACCCCACACTGGCCTGGGAATTCCCTGAGGACAGGGACACTTGTGTCCCCAGCATCTGGCACCTTGCCTGCCACATGGGGCCTCCAAAAATGCTTTTGAACTCTGGCACGACAGTTATTGAATCTCATTGCTCCCACTTTCTAGATCTGTGACCTTGGACAAGTCCACATACTTCTGTTAGTCTGAGTCTGTACATCTGTACAACGGGATAGTAACCTGCCTTTCAAGACTGTTGTAGGATTAAAGGAGATGACACATAAAAGCACTTTGCACAGTGCCTGGCACACAGTAGGTGCTCAAGAAATGGTGGTGATTGAGGATTATTTGTCCCAGAGCAATGGGGACAGAGGGTCTAATTGTCCCAGGCTTTGTGCCTTTTTCTACCCTAGATTCCTCCCAGGTCAGCATGGTACTGGGTCAGGAATCACCTGATCCTCTCCCCTCTGCTCTCCCAGGAGGCAAAGGCTGAGATGGAGAAGGAGGCTGGTTCCCAAACCTTCCATGCCCTGTGGATGCAGCAGCACCTGCCAACTCAAGGCCATGCAGGAGGCCTGGCTGGCTAACAGTTAAGGGCTCAGATGGGGAAGAGGGTAGGCCGGATGCTTGTCTCAGTGCCCCAGCCTCCTGGCTCAGCTGCTTCCCCAGCCAGTCTGGCTCCCTCGCTGCCACTTCCACAATTTGGGAAAATGCATCAAATTCATTTCTGCTCTAGGGACTTCTTGGGTTGCCCTCTGGGACTGGGGTGGGGTGAGGGGACAATACATTTTAAAAGAGGTCCCCAGAGTGGAAAATGTCTCCTTCTGCCTGCCTTTGCCCAGATCCAGCATTTCCTAGAAAATCACTTCCTTGGTCACTGAGTTGATCTTCACTGTGGCTCTGGGGGGGTGGGGGGTAGTGGCCCATTTTACAGATGAAGAAATAGAGCAGCAAGAGGGGAGGGCTCAAAGCTCCAAGCCCAGCTCAGTGGTCCTCATGGGGAGGGAGGGACATGGTGGGTAGGATGTGGGAAGCGGGATGTTTGGGGCCAGGACTCGAACATCACCTCACAGAGGCTGGGGGCTTTGTCCCTGCCTCCACAGTGATTGTAGGCTGCCCCTAGAGACTGCCCAGGAAGATGGCTCCAAAGGCAGCATCCATCACCAGTGAATTAGCCACCATCCATCAGTATTAAGAAAGGGATTGCTTTTTAATGGGGCCAAAGAATGTGTGTTTCCGTGACTAGCAGGAATATTTGTCAGATGCCTGCGAATCTGGTAAATAAATGCAAATGTACCAGCGTTTCTAGAAATGGATATTAATGACTGGATTTTAGAGCAAAGGTCCCTAGTGTTTGTGGAGCATTTTCTGGGGACTGGAGTGGGGTGCGGGAGCCCTGTACTTGCCTTAATCCACAGGCCCCTCAGAACAACCCCCTACTTAACAGGCCAGTAGCTATGGCTTGCCCAAGGTCACGGACCAGAGCTAGAAGCCCCGATTCTTGGGTTCCAGAGTGGCTGTGGCATCTACCAAAGGGGCAGCCGCTAAGAGATGGCAGAGGGACAGGGTTGGTAACCGGAGGGCTAGCTTTATGGGAGACTTGGCTTCCCTGGTGGCTCAGAGGTTAAAGCGTCCTCCTGGAATGCAGGAGACCCAGGCTCGATCCCTGAGTTGGGCAGATCCCTGGAGAAGGAAATGGCAACCCACTCCAGTACTTTTGCCTGGAGAATCCCATGGAGGGAGGAGCCTGGTGGGCTGCAGTCCATGGGGTCGCAAAGAGTCGGACACGACTGAGTCGTGGACCAGTCTAAGGTCCACCTGGAGTGAGGGCTTGGGTGGTGGAAGGGCCCCTGATGGAATATCTGGAGACGACCTGTTGAGTGCATCCCAGCGAGGAATGAGCCTTTGATGCCAGGGGTTTAGATACCAAAGACACGGTCAAGTGTCATCCCCCTTCACCTGAGGCTGCCCCCCTGGGATAATAAGCCTGCTAGGGCAGGGGAAGACAGGGGACTTGTGGAAGGGGATGCCATGAGTGAGGGCCCTTAGGCGTTTCCTGAAAGTTTGGGGCGAGAGGGAGGGCTTTCCTAAGGGGAAAGTTCGGTGAAGAGGGTGGGGCTTAGCAAGGGGCAGGGCCCTATAAGGGGGAGGGGCGTGGCTTTGGAGTGGAAGAAGGCGGGGTTTGTGAGGGGAAGTGGGCAGGGCTCTGTGAGGTAGAAGGGGCGGGGCTTATGTGGGGAAAGGGGTGTTTTCCTAGAACGAGCACGAAAGGCTGGCTCTCATCTGTCCCAGGCGTCCTGTTCCCTAGCAACGCCCACCCGCCCACACTCCCTCTACTCCCGGAGTCTCTCAATTCAGCAGGATCTGCAGGTTTAATTAAGGTCTGGGACTCTCTCTGCAGAAGGATACTCCACTCCCCACCCTAACCCCCGGGGATCTCATTTCTTCGGTCACATCCACAGCTCATCAAGCCTGTTTTCATTACCAGCTGGAAGTCTCCTTTCTGTCTGTCTTCAACAGCCTTCTACCCATCCATTCCTCTCTGCAGGGATCCTCCCCACCCCCACCTGGTCTCCAGCTGGAGGTGAACACCAAATTCCTGCGTCCTTTTCTTACAAGCGGCCCTGCCCGGCAGCCTCAGCCCTGTCTTCCTAAGGGCCTGTGGTGTCAGTGGCCATCTCTGTCTAAGCCTCAGTGTCTTCTGGGCTCCACAGGGACGAGTGAGCCTTGTCTTGGCTGCCTCATGGGGATGAACAGACAAAGGTGTGGTTTGGAAGGACCGCTGTACACAGGCGGTCTGCTCCCATGTGGCCCCAGGCCCTAATGCCCTGGGCTTTTCTGAATTTTCAGCTCTCTGACAGCGCCAGCCTGTTGGGCAGGCCCTGCTCCTCACTTTGACTCCCTCAACAGCCAGCCCACTAGTTTCAAACTGCTCAGGCAGATGCAGAAAGGAGCCTTGGAAACTTCAAGTTTCCTTGGAGCTGTAGAGATGGGAATGGCTCTGTTCTCCATTTTTTTTTTTTTTATTGCCTCCAGTTCCACATATGATGGCTGTCCTGTCTCCACTGGATTTTCAGGGGAGGCCCCTAAATCTTTATTGACTGATGCACAATCCCTCCTTCTCAGCCTGACAAACACCTATTCATCCTTCAAGGTCCATTCAAATGTCTTCTCTCAGAATCTCCCCTCCGAGCTCCTGAGGCACTTGACCCTTTCCTGTCCTGCTGTCCTTTCTATAATCCTGATTCTAACCTATTTTATGGTGGAGTTGGTATTAACATTCCTGCTTCCCTTCTGAGATGGTTAAGGAATAGGGGTTGGGAGAAGGGTCTTTGAGGCAGTGACTCCAATTCGGCTCTGGGGACCAACGTTGCTCAGCACAGCATCTGGCCCACTTGTGTGCCCCTGATTCTGAACTAGACAGGGTGAAATCTAAGCTTCTGGGTGTGGCTGCTGGCTGGAATTCCCTTGCTGAAACCACAGGCAGCCCTCACACATAGTATGGGCCCGCTGTGCGTTCTTGCCTGGCTGCCACACCTGGCTGTAGACCAGGCTGCTAAACCACCCATTTTACAGACGGGAAAACTGAGGCCTTGAGTTGTCATTAACGTTTACATGCCCCTCTCCTACACCAGACTGGATGTTTCCCGAAGGCATGGGCTGTGTCTCCTTGGCTGCTGTGACTCTAAGCCCATATCAGAGCTTGATGTAGAGCAGGAGTTCAAGACAGCTTATTGGTAGAATAAAGTAATACATGAATGAAAGTTCAACTGGGCCTGCAATAGTTCAGATTCTGACCTTTCAGGCTCCGGGATCCCAACGCTGGCCCCGCCCAGGCCCCGCCCTGAGCCCCTCCCGGCCCTGCCCCCTTCCCCCGCTCACCCTTGCTCCTCCATCATCTCCTGCAGTTCCATGCACTTGAGCTCCACGCGCCGCTTGCGCTCATGGTCCAGGATCTCGCGGTGCGCGCGCTTCACCAGGCCGGGCTCCGCGGCGCGCAGCTCCTCCTCTGCCCGCGGCCAGGCCCCCGACGAGGCGCCCGGCTGCGGGAAGCCGTTCGCCGCGTCGGGTGGGGACGGCACGCTGGCCGCCCCGTTGTTCACGGTGGAGGACATGGTGGCTGCCCCCGGAGCGGCTGGCCTCGGCCCTGCGGGACAGACACAGACACCCGGCGGGATGGTCACTTCTCGGCCACCTGCTAAGCTCCTCTTGGCGCGGGTTAATCCTGGAGATTTAAAGGCCCACTCATGGCTCTAATCCGCTTCCCCTCTGGCTGCAGAGCCGGGCCCGGCAGGTTTGCACCTGTGGGTCACACCTCAGGGCATGAGGGGGCATCGGACACTGGCTGTCCCCATCGGTAAGGTGGGGTGGATTCAAGGCGGACTAGATGGCCTCTAAGGAGGCTTGTCGCCTTCAGGGGCCTAGTAACTATCCAGGACAAAGCTCTCTGCCGCCGTAGCAATGCCTGGTCCTGACTGCTGGCCCCTGCCTGCACACCTGCTGGCAGTTCCCCAGCTTTTATTCTTGTTTTTCCTTCAGGCTCAGTTTAATACCTGCTTCTTACTCCCCAGTACCCATTTTTCTGGCTCTGGCCCCTGGAATCACAGACCACACGTGCTCCCCGTCCCAGTCTGCTCCCGAACAGCCCTGCAGAGACCAGGCTCAGCTCCATTCCCACCACAGATGCAGTTTTCGGGTCCTACTTTGATCTGGCTAACTTTTCCAAAGTCAGCATTCCAGGTGGGGGCCTATCTGGGCTGAAGCCCACAGGACCGTCCCCTCCTTTGTTCTGGAAACATCGCTTGTGAGGATGTGACCAAAAGTGGCACTGACATTAACTTTCCAGGCAGCCACATCCTTTCGCCAGCTCAGGGTGGTTTGGGAGTCAGCATGGCTTGGAAGGTGAGAAGTGGTGGCTCCATGGTCCAAAGAAGAGCGTGCACCTGTATGCACCCTGCACATGCATGTATACACACACACACACAGACATACACACGCAAGCACATACACACCAAGGACTTATCTTAACAGAGGGGAGGCACCTCCCGAGCTATTTCCATTTCCTTTCTCCAAGGCTCTGCTAGTTGCTAAGCAACAGGGAGGCCTCCTTCCCAGGGAGTGGGATGGGAGGGAGGGAAGGGGTGGAGGGAGGTGGGAAGAGAAGGAATCAGGCATGTCTGGACATCCCAGATGGGGCCTTCCTGCAATACACCCCCAACCCCCCACAACACATACTCTCCTCACTGGCCTCAAAGTGCAGAGCCATGGCGTCTGAAAGGCAGAGAAGAGAAAGGGACCAGGAGAGGAAAAAGCCTTGCAGGGGACAGTGACAGGAGGTGACAGTGGGAATGGGAACACAAGCTCCTTTCATATGTTCATCTGCCCAAGTGTCCGGGTCTAGGCCCGCGTTCTCCGTGCCTTGCTGTGTGACCCTGAGGATGCTCCTGCCCCTCTCTGAGCCTCTGTTCTCAACCTGTGCCTCGAAGCATCATCCAGATTCTTCAAGAAGTCTCTTCGGGCTTTACAGAACAAAGCTGTTTTTCTAAGCCTTGCCTGCTTCCTGCCTGTCCCTACCCCAGCCCTGCAACCCTAGCTCTACCATGCTTTCTCTGAGGGTAACCCACAAGTATCACCCACTCACCAAGCCCCACCCAGAGCTCTGCTTGTGTCATGCCCTGAGCCAGGGACATGCATGGAGCTTGGAGACCCCCATTCTCCTAGCCCACCACAGCTCACCAAGATCAAGTTTGGTCCCATATTCCATCTTGAGATTGCTCACATTTACCCATCTCCTCCTCTCTCATTACCACCTCAGTTTAAGCCTCTGCCTCTGGTCCATTCTGGCATCAGCATCCTATCTGCCCACCCCCCCTGCCCTGACCTCTTTCTGTTCATCTTCCATCATCAGCAACCTGGGAGCCTGGGCCAGGAGCAAATCAGACCCTGTCATGCCCTGGTTAACAGCCTCCAGTGGCTTCCGGTCACCCTGGCTCCCAGTCCTGACACGACTTGGACCTGCTTCCTGGACCAACCTCTCCAACTGCCGCATCCACACAGATTCTGCATCCCTCTTGCATCCAGATCTCCCTGCCCCCCNCCCGCTCCCTTTCCCTGGGATGCTCTGCACTTGACTCTGGCATGACCTCAAAGTCACTGCTCACAGGTATCGCCACTTTCTGGAAGCCTCCCTCCTCCCCTCTGGGGAGCTCTCCCCCCTCGCTGTCATTGTGGGCTCATAAGTCTCACTCCACCTGAGGGCCCAGGGCTTTTCAGCCCCAATTCCTGGTGCCAGCCAAGTGCCTGAAACACATGGGGCTCAGTGCCTGGAATAAAGAGGAGACAAACAGGGAGACGGCCCTATTGTAGAGCACCTGGAGCTCTGCTCAGTGTTATGTCCCAGCCTGGATGGGAGGGGCATTTGGGGGAGAATGGATTCATGTATATGTATGGCTGAGTCGGTTTGCTGTTCACCAGAAACTACATCAACATGGTTAATCGGCTATACCCCAATACAAAATAAAAAAATCTAACATTTGAAAAAAAAGGGAGATAGGACTGAGGACTACAGGCAGGGTCCTTGATACAGTCTTCAAGACCCCTTTGTATTTCCTCTCATGTGATCTTGCAGCTTTATCCAGTGCTATACTTTATCCTCAAGCCAACATCCAGCTCCCCAGCCTGGGTCACCTGTCCCCAAACAGGCACTCCCACTCCTTTGAGCCTTTGCCCACTCAGTTCCCAGTGCTAGAATTCCATTGTCTCTCTTCCCTACCTGGGGAACTCCAGCACATCCTTCAGAGTCCAGTCCCAATGTCACCTCCTCCGGGTAGCCTTCCCTGCTTCTGACGAAGGATGAGCCGTTCCCTCCTTCTGTCCCCACAGCTTTTGTCCTCATCTCTTTAGATACTGAGGCTCAATTTATTGTCTGTGTCTGACCCCTGTTCTAGCCCTTCAACGGGAGGGGACCAGCCCTTCATTCCAGCTCCCCTGAGCCTACCCAGCACCTAGCAATGCAGAAGATGCACTGGGGGTGTGGGAGCAAAGTGCTTGGGCCCCCGAGAGAGCTGTGGAAGCAGGTTCTCAGTGATGCTGCTCTGCATGATTGCCCTCAATGTAGGTGAGGCTCCCCAGCCAAGGGGAGCTCCCTGAGCTCCTTGAGGGCAGGGCAGGGGAAGCTGGTGGGAGGAGCTCTGAGTGTACTCAGGTCTCCACACCCCGAGAGGAGAAATCCTATCGCCAGCACTAGGAGAATGCCTGGCCTAGATGGCTAGGCTGCTGGGGGCAGTCTTTCAGAAGCGCCTGAAGGAAAGGAGAGGGGCAGGAAGACAGAACATGGATGCTGTCTGGGTTTCCACTAGGACAGATGGTGAATTCTGCCAGCTTCACCTGGTAATGGAGGGTGCCAGGCAGGAATCTGAGGCATGTTATCAAAAGAATGACCTCTGAGTCCCTAGAGGAGAGGCCAGGCCCCTAAGACTGAATCATTGTATGCTGAGCCCACTTCTTTCCTAGGCAGGGTTGCTGGACCAGCAGACCAGGAAGTTATTGCAGACGTCAGGTCTGGAGTGGGTTGCCATTCCCTTCTCCAGAGGATCTTCCTGACCTAGAGATTGAACCGGGGTCTCCCGCATTACAGGCAGACTCTTTACCATCTGAGCCACCAGGGAAGCCGTTATCTGACATTATCTATTACGGAATTATTGTGAGATTTCATAAGGAGAGAGAGACACTGTGTTGGTGGGAACTAACATTCCGTGCTATTTTAATTGGTGGGTGGATTAACCTGTGCTCAGAGGGAGCTAATGAAGGGGTCCATGTCATATTAGATGGGCATATCTAGGGAAGGACCACAGGGCTCCGTCCTCACCCACGTCTGATCTAGTATGTTCACCATTGACTGGAGAGAACTTTGATAACCTGCTGACCAGATTCACTGAGAACACCACTTGGGAAAGTTCAGAAATTCAGAGTCAGAATCTAAAAAGACTCAACAGATGGAAAAGATGGAAGGAGTCTGAGAAGGTGAAACCCGATAATGAGAAATACCACGTCCTGATGCTGGGTCCCAAACGAACTTTCTAAAATTGGAGTGAGGTAGACATATGTTCAGAGAAGGCAATGGCAGCCCACTCCAGTACTCTTGCCTGGAAAATCCCATGGACGTAGGAGCCTGGTAGGCTGCAGTCCATGGGGTCACGAAGAGTCGGACACGGCTGAGCGACTTCACTTTCACTTTTCACTTTCATGTGTTGGAGAAGGAAATCGCAACCCACTCCAGTGTTCTTGCCTGGAGAATCCCAGGGACGGGGGAGCCTGGTGGGCTGCCGTCTATGGGGTCGCACAGAGTCGGACACGACTGAAGCGACTTAGCAGCAGCAGCAGCAGCAGACATATGTTAGAAGCAGCATATTTAGGAAGAATTTAGGGGTTTTCAGTGGTCACAGGCTCAATTTGAGTCAATATCATAAATGTGGCTGCCAAAAGTGCATGTTATCTTAGCCTACATCAACAAAAATATACTATCTGGAAGGGGGAAGTGATAAGAATATACAAGTGGTCGGAGGATTTAGGCCAAACCTGGCTGAATATGCTGAGAAGATTGTTAGAAGTAGGTTGGGTTGCCTGATTTTGCAAATAAAAATACAGGATGCACAGTTAAAATAATTTGAATTTCATGAATTTCATATTTGGGGCATCCTCATACTAAAAAAAAAATTCATTGTTTATCTGAAATTCAAATTAAACTGTCTTGTATTTTATATGATTCCTATCTGAACCTACTGAATCAAAATCTCTGAGGGTGAAATTGTCAATGTTCTCCAGGTGATTCTGATACAGACCATCTGTGGAACAGCAATTGGGAGCCAGTGTCTAGAACAGCAGTTCTCAAATCTTATTAGTGGAGTCACCTGACAGGCTTGTTAAACCATAGATGGCAAGGGTCTTGTTGTTGGTTAGCTGGTAAGTCATGTCCGACTCTTTTGTGACCCCATGGACTGTTGCCTGCCAGGCTCCTCTGTCCATGGGCTTTCCCAGGCAAGAATACTGGAGTAGGTTGCCATTTCCTGCTCCAGGGGATCTTCCTGACCCAGGGATCAAACCCGCATCTCCTGAT